TTCTACAGGGAGACCCTGTCTCAAAAAACAATAATAACAACAACAAAAGCAACAAAACAAAATAAAGAAAAAAAAGAAAGCAGCAGGCTGAGTCTACTACAAATGCTAAAACCTAATTTTTATCTGTTCAATGAATTTGTTTAAGTAATAATTACAAGGCTAGGAGTGTAGCTCTGTGGTAGAGAACTTGCCTGCCATGCACGAAGTCCTGGGTTCAATTTGTAGTGTTTGGAAGAAAGGAAGAAGGAAAGAAAGTGAAGGGAAAGATGACAAGGTATTTGTTATGTTCCATATATGCTCTGGGTTTCAGGGAAAACAGGACAAAGAAGGTCTCTGCGCTTCAGGAACTCAGGCTAGATAACTGACACAGCACTGCTGCATACCCTGTCCTCGATACTGAAGTTTGTTTTAAGCCGAAAAACCCAGATTAGAACCAAGTTTTAGCTCTTTTTCCAGGACTCTAACTATGCCTCTTTAATTTAAAATTTGTAAAGTCTTTCAAAATTACGCTAATTTCTTTTTTCTTGTGGTCCTGGGGGTTGAACCCAAGGCCTTTACACTGAGCTAATACTCAATCCTTTTTATTATTATTATTATTATTATTATTATTATTATTATTATTTATTATTATTATTATTATTTTGCAGTATCAGGTCCTTGCACTTGCGAGGCAGGTGTGGCTCTACTGAGCTACATCCTCAGCGCTTTTTAATTTTTTTATTATTAGATCTTGCTAAGTTGCTAAGTTGTCCAGGGTGGGCTTGAACATGTGGTCCTCCTGCCACAGCCTCTCAGAGAGCTGGGAATATAGGCATGGGCCAACCCAAGCTAATTTCTTATATCTTTGGGTTTACCAGGAAAAAAAAAAACTATATAAGCTGAAAAATGGGGTACTAATAAAAATACTGTCAATAATATTTTAGACATGCATCCATGAATTTGGAAATGTAATCAACTCCATTTTTATCCATAATTTCTTATCATGTACTGTTACAGTCATGGCACAGTATTTTTCTACAGAAAAACAAGGGAAAGAGAAAGGTTTATAGCAACTTCTTTTTTTGAGGTAGTGTCATGCTATGTAGTCCACGCTGGCGTTGAACTCACTATGGCACCCAGGATGGCCTCAAACTCACAATGATTCTCCTGCCTCAGCCTCCATAGAACTTTTTAATTTTTCAATAAGAAACTTAACTATTCTCACTTCTTAGCACTGATCCTATATATTTATAAGAGCAAAGTTTATATGCTATGAAAGAATCTGAATAAGGACAGTTTTAGTTTAATATATGAGAGTATGTGTTTAAAAAACATTGTTCTATTTATAGGATATTTTCAGTCTGGCTCTTATTCCTGTGCATTATATATATATTTTTAAATTTAGATTCTGCAAGATGTTCTATTTCTTGGATTCCTTTTTCTACCATTAATGCACATGCCACTCATAATCTCAAATGCGATCTCTCCTATATGTGAATCATATTCTTTCAGTTCTTACTGGGTGGTAAAAGCAAAACATCTGAGTTGTAAAGAGGGGCAAATAAGCTTATCTTATTCAATTACTGCATTTTATTTCACAGCTAGCAATTTTTCTCAAGTCCTGGGGATTGAATCCAGGGCATTCATACTGAGCTACATCCCCAGACCTTTTTCTTTTGAGACCTGGTTATACTAAGTTGCTAAGATGCTCAGGGCTGGGTTTGAACCTGCAGTTCTCTTGATTCAGGCACTCAGAGTCCCAGAATTACAGGCATGTGCCACCACACAAGAATCTACACATTTTATTTATTTATTAAAATTATTTTGTTATGGATCAAACTCAGGACCTTACGATTGCAAGGCAAGAGGCGGCACCACTGAGCTAAATCCCCGGCCATACAAATTTATTTTTTAAAGCAGGATTCGATTTATTATATACCACAAACTAGGTTTACAAAAAAATAAAACCACCATATAAGCACTAAGCAGTATCTACACACCCTTATTTTAAAGGCTGGCACACTGCAATCACGTAGTTTCTAGCAAAAAATGCAGTGATCACACTGCAAAATTAACGTGCACGGCTTTGAAAAGAGATCAATGCCAATGCTTATAAAAGAGCAACCATAATATTATATATATTCTGGAGGAGTAGGGGATGAGGAGTTAATGTATCATAGCTGTGAGAATTTGTTGGGGGTGATGAAGTTTTGGAAACATACAGTGGTGATGACTCCACAGCATTCTCTCTTTTTTTGCTTGTTTGTTTTTTCAAATTTTTTGGTGCTGAGGACCGAACCCAGGGCCTCAAGCTTGCTAGACAAGTGTACCCCCACCGTGCTAAATCCCCAGCCCCTGCATGGCATTTTAAATATAATCCATGCTACTGAATTGAATTCTTAAAAATGGCTAAAGTGGCAAATTTTATGTTCTATATATTTTACCACATTTGAACAAGCAAGCAAGAAATAAAGTTACATGTATTTCTTTTTTTTAACTTGACAAAAATTATTGGTTATTTTAGTAAAGATATTCATCTCAGTTGTTTCTCTCATCTTGACCTTAGATTAGTATTTCATTTGGGTCAAGAAAAGAGTATGTAGGAGAGGGATGTTATTTTAACAAATGGTAAAATGGACAAAAATGAATAGTTTGCCTACATAAAAGTAAGTTAAAGTTAAACTCATGTATCTTGATACAATTAAATCATATAAGAACTAGTAGTTCTACATACATTTCCATTGTTTCACTTGGGGCTTACTCTAAACCTTAATGTAACAGAACAACTTATTAGGCATATGTGCAGGTTTTTTCTCTGGAGTTACTATTTATTAAAAAAGATCAGTAAGTAACTACCACTAATAAAACAGTCTGACGATGCCTCCAAATTTAACATCGTAGGAATTCTGAAGGAAATCACTGTATCCTTTTTATTTTGTCTGTGACTATGCTTTCAAAGATGTTTAACTGTCACATTAAAGAAGTTCATATATAATACAAAAATACAAAACACCTACAGTACACAAATCAGTATATGTGATGAACAATTCCATAAAATGTTTTAAGATGCATTTTCTTTCCTTTTGTTTTCAGTACCTACAATATGCTTTTGAGAGGCCAGTGGGCAGTATGTGTTCACTTAAAATAAACAATATAATTGTTCTAATAAGAAATCCTGTAGTGAGTTCAAATTGGATTTAACAACTTCATAATGTAAATATGTAGACAAAGTTATAGAAAATGCATCTCACTGTTTTCCATCTTCAATGTTAAATTTTTTTGGTGTTTATACTTTTTAAAAAATAAAAACCAACCAAATACTTAAGCAGTATGTACATTTACATTTTTGGTGGTGGTTTGTATTTTAAAAGAAACAACTTCCTTATGATTTGCTTCAAGTTCTTGTGGAAATGCTTATAGGAACTAGCTAATAAACCAAAGCTAAGAGAAGCACATTCAAAATACTGATTTACTTTGGCAGCAAATGTTTGTTCTTTGAAGACTAAAGAAGGTAGACAAGACCATTAAAGTGAAATGGCCTATTTCAAATGCTCAATACTTCACATAGAAATTTTTTAAAATTATTTTTTGTGTATGTGCTGCTGAAGCAAGCACTTTAATTATTTTTTGTACAAGAGCTAAGCATCTGTATCCACTGATAGCAATGCAATACCTAATATGATAACAAAACAAATGCCCATAAGGAAAAAACTGTATTTTAATTTTATCTAAATTTACTTTGAGTCAATAGTTCAGCAACATTTCCTTTTCAATACGATGCTCCCCTCCTTCTCTTATAAAGCGGTTCCTGGGAGCCAGACAGTTTACGTAATGAGGGAGTTAATTTAGGAGTAAATGCTTACATTTTTAAATAGACAGTAATTTTTTGCTTCGCTCTTTTTTCTTTTTTTTTTTTTTTGGTACTGGGAATCGAACTCAGGTCCTTGCGCTTGCAAGGCAGGCTGCCGAACCACTAAGCTAAATCCCCGGCCCTTGCTTCCCTCTTAATGTGCTCATAGTTGTGTCTAAAAAATGCAGTTCTTAAAAAGGTACCATTTCTGATTTATTATCTATAACCTTTGGAAACTAATCACATGAAAATTAGCAAATGTCTTAAAATCTGTATATAAAACATAAATAAGAACCTCTAATTTCAAACTCTCACTTATTAGTGTACCACTCAATCTTTAAAAAAAATGAAAAAGAAAAAGAAAAAGAAAATGTGGCTCCAAAGATAGTCTTATACCATTCTTTAAAAAAAGGAAACTAGAGCCGGGCGTGGTGGTACATGCCTGTAATCCCAGCACTCGGAGGCTGCGGCAGGAGAATTGCTGTGAGTTCGAGACCAGCCTGGGCTACACAGTGAGTTCCAGGTCAGTCTCAACTACACAGTGAGACCCTGTCTCAAAAAACAAACAAACAAACAAAGGAAACTATTCCTTTTCACTTTACGCCCACTGCACACCCCGATTCAAAACACATCATTTAACTGTCTTGACATTTCCAAGACGAGACTGTCAAGATGACATTTTATATTTTGTTCCCATAGCTTCTGGTTATCAGAAAAAACCCATGTATTCCTTTATTGAAAGAGCTTGGTCCAGCTGATGTTGGTTTATCCCTTCCAGTATTCTTCATACTCATTTTGCTTCTGGAGGCATTTCCTCCAGTTCATTATCTTTATCTTCATTAAAAGCTGCGGCTACTAGAAAGGGTTTTTGGAGCAAGAGTTGGAACAGTTTTTTTAGGCTTCTCCAGTGGCTCCAGCTCGCTTTGGCTTCTCAGGCTTCTCCTCTCCCTCCTTTCTGTCAGCCATTTTCCCTGCTGCGGCCTCCCCAGCAAATATCATGTATTTCTACTTAGCAGGGTTGGAATATCCAGAAGATGCTTAATAACATTTATTCCTAAAAAATATCTCAGCCTCTACTTATTTAAATACTCTACATTTGCATAATCTCATTTTACTTATATTTCTATAGGTGAACAGAAAAAGTAACTCAATCAACAAAAATATTCCTTGCCTGATTGCCTTCCTTTTTTCCTGTTGATCAGAAGAGACATAGGCCTGCATCTCTTCAGTTGCACGACAAAGCTGAACTTCTAGGTTCTAAATGGAAAGATAACTTTCAGGGAGGTTTCTGATACAGAAAAATCTCAGAAAGGTTTCTCATCCACTTTCCTTCTCTTACCTTAATTATACAATTTGTATAATGGTATTTACTTTCTTCTTGAAGACATTCCTCACGGAGTCCTCTAACTTCCTATAATATATAATTTTAAGTGGGCAACATTACTGAAAGAATAAGACAGATACAGAGAAGATGACTTTAAATGTACAACAAAAGCGCCATCAGGAGTAATTTTTCTCTTCTTTTTTTTAGTACCAGGGATCAAACTCAAGACCTTGTACTTGCGAGGCAGGCACAGGGCCACTGAGCTAAATCCCTGGCCCTGGTCATTTCTTCTTCTGCAATTTTAAGTTGTTTAGCAGGATAGGTTGAAATCTTTTGTAGACACTATTCATATTGCTCAGTTACTTATTTATTAAGTTCTACATATACGCTGGGGACACAGTAAACAAGGCAAACAGGTCCTTGCTCTCTCTCAAGCACAGGAGACAGATTACAGCAGACAGTCATAAACAAGGAATCCCACAGGCCATGGGCCAGGGATTTAGCTCAGTGGTACCACACATGCCATGCAAGTGCGAGTTCATGAGTTCATTCCCCGGTACCAAAAAACCCCCAAAAGACCACCTCCATAAAACAAGGAATCCCATAATGAAAGTTACTTAGATGGGGATAAGGGCTATGAAGAAAACTCAGAAGTGGAATGTGATAGAGATAGGGCAGGCCAAGCTGGGAGGAGAGTGGGAAATGTTAGGGTGGTAAGAGAAATCCTCCAGGAGGAGGTGTCTATCAGACTGAAAACTGCATGACGAAAAGGAAAGATCTAGGGAAAAAGTCAGGGTAGAGCATTCTAGGCAAAGGAAAGATGAGCAAAAGCCTGGAGGTGGAAGCAAGCTTGGCCGTCTGGAGCTTAAGAAGGAGGCCCACGTGGGTGAAGCTCATGGACAGGAAGTTAGGAGGCAGGTATGGCCTTGAATATCAGAGTTTGGAGGTTGGACTTTGTTCTAAACACAAAAGGAAGCTAATGGAGGGTGGAATAAATCTGAAACAGGATTCTTTGGAGATTCTATGGAGAAAAAACTTAGGAAGACAAGAGAGGTAGAGCAGGAGAGCAGAATATATATGTGGCTATTTTGGGAGTCTGGAAAAGGGATGATGGACATTGGGCTTTGGCAACAGTAGTACAGGTACAAAAATTCACATAAAGTGCATAAAGTTTAAAGAAATAATAATCTCAGGAGCCTAGGAGACAGGCTAGGAGATGATAAAGATTTGATAAAAGATTTGGGAATCTTTTGGCATGGTGTAATAAAAATATACAAGCAGTTTTTGCTACACAGGCAGTTTCTGTTCCACTGTTATAATAAAACTCTTCTTACCTGTTCTAATTGGGACCGACTGCTTTCAAGGCCTGCTGCACAGCTATCATACTGGGATTTCTTTTCGTCACATTCCTGGGTTAGTTCCTAGTATGAAAGGGCAAATGATTGAATAAGTGAAAAACAAAGGCCTAAAATGTGCCTCTGACACAATGTGTGTCCTTGTCGGTCTTGTAATTTAACTCTAAGCTTCTTGGCATACTTAAGAGTTATTTATACAACAATCGGACATTTGAGAATTATGACAGATGGAGGTGCTGATAAGAGTAATAGCTGCCATGTATAGAGCTGTGTGCCATGCTGTTTATTAGGCTGGAGACATAACAGTGAAGAAAAGAGCCAGAAGTTCTTCCCCTTAGTAACGTTCAGCAAGTAAACAGGCTGCTGAGAGCTATGCATGGGTGGTAACGTTAGGGACAAATGCAAGGTGTGCCGGAGCAAGCAGGACTCTGATCTAATCCAGCTTTGAGATCAGTGGGGACAACTTCCTGGAGAAACTGATATTTAAACTGAGCATAAACGATTAGTAAGAACTGTTAAGGGGAAGGTGAATAAGGAGAAGGGGTGTTTTCTAAAAAAGGAACAACACTATGTGTAAAGGAAGAGAACACAAACAACTAAGGAACTTGCAAGAGTTAATTATGCTGCAGTGTGCAGTGTATCTGGGAAGTGGTGAGAGAGGACGAAGATTAGCTGGGGGACTGACCAGAAGAATTTTATAGCTGGTAGGGTGTTTCAACTGGACTCCTGACCATAACTAAATCTAACACAGGGCCATAAAGGAGGCACTGCTACCACCATGCAACGCTTGCAGAACGCTCAGGAAGGTCACATACTGGGCCTAAGATTATACTGCTGAAAAGGGGCGGAGTCAGAATTTCATCAGAGTTTAGGCTATTTTACTAGTTTCAAAGTTTATTCTACTACTAGAAACATTTATAGCTAAATGGATGTACACACACTGAGGCCATACTCTTAAGTGAAGTAAATAGGACACACTTGAGTAAATAACGAATAGTTTCTCTGCTGTGAAAAACTAAAAGTGTAAATGAGGTTCAAATGGTATAACTGAGAGTGTAAAATAGGAAGAAAATGGCTAAAGGGGAAGTGGGAAGGGGAGGGGAAAGGAAATAGGGAAAAGAAAAAATGTGAAAAAAGGAAAAAATGGAAACAAAAGTAAATAGGGAAGGATGAAGGGGATGAAGGGGGTGAAGGGAGGGCAGGGGCATTGGGGAAAAAAACAAGAATCTAAACATATCATGTATAGGTACAAGACCCCAATAATAAATGTAACTGTATTGTTGGCTTTAAATGTACCAATAAACTTAAAGGGGGAAAAAGTTTATTCTACTGAAATATTTTGAATGAGATAATCCGAAAATCTGCTGCAAATGTCTACAAATATGAATCTGCAAATACTTGATGAGGTAGAGCAGTAATATTTTTAAATTCAGAGATGTAAAAAAATAAAATAAAATAAATCCAGAGATGAACTGAATTCCTAAGGAGGCAAAAGGAATCACCAGAGCCAAACACAAGAGCTGGCACATGGTGGCTACCCCTGCAAAAGAAGTAGGGTAGTCAATCTTATTTGTTTGTATTTTTGTTACCAGGGATCGAACTTAGGACCTTGTGCTTATGAGGCAGGCATGGCACCACTGAGCTAATCCCCCGACCCAGTCTTTCTTTTGAATCAGGGCCTTTGCTATGTAGTAGGGCAGTCAGTCTTGGTGAGAGTAGTTTTAATATCCAGGCAGGCAGAAGAAAAGCCTCAGGCCTATGCACAGTGGGAAGCCAGAATATAGGACCTACACCTTTACTGCAGTAAAGCCAAGCTGCTTTCAACCTGGGAACTAACTTGTGATCACAGCTAACACCAGCCTGAGAATGACCTTGGTTTCACAGCAGTGTCCTTGGAAAAGGAAGAGTGACTATGGATCAGGAATGCAGTGTGCAAGTGTGCCTGCATCAGGTGACCAGCACAGCACCATGGGCTGTGAGAAAAGGGGCTGTGGCTTGTGTGTGTGTCGATGTGATCAACAGACACTGACGGTTCTCCAGGTGACAGTCACACATACCCTCAGTGGGATAAGGGGCAGCAGATGCCATGTACTTCAGTGGTTAGCTGTTGGGCCTCTCAGTGAGATGAAGGTACCATAGTTGATGAAAGTCTCTTTGGCCTACCTATTCAAGGTCATTAGCTTGAAATTTATCTTGAGATATTTGTAAAACACCTGGTGGAACAATGGCAAAACCACTCTGGAGGTAGACACACTATCCCAGCTGCCAGGACCCAAGAGACAAAACCCTGCTAATGGTAAGTTCACTATCTCAAAGCAGAAATCTTAATATAAGTAAATGAATGATCCACCCACTAAGCATAAAATATAAGATATAAACAGCAAGATTACTCCTCAGGGAACTCTGGATAGTATACATTATTAAATAAGTATGCTTAAAATAAAAACAACTTAAGAACTAGGAATAAAAGATTAGAAAAAAGACATCCTCAGGGAAAAAAAAAATGAAAAAGACAGTCATTGAAATTAAAAGTTAGGTCTGGGGGTTTAGCTCAGTGGTGCCGCCACCTGCCTCCTAAGTGCAAAGACTTGAGTTCGATCCCTGGTACCAAAAAAAAAAAGAAACTAAAAGTTAAATGGATGGAATAAACTTAAGACTGGACGCCACTGAGGAGATAAAAGAATGAACTAGGAAAGTGCTGAAGAAATTTTCCAACATTAATACAAAGAAACAAAAAGGTGAAAATATCAAATTCTGGTTAAGTATAAGAAACAATAAATATGTCTAACATGTATCTAATAGGAACGGATGGAATACAAACTAGAAAAAACGGGGGAAGAGACTATCTGAAGGGATCGTGCAGAATTTTTCCAGAATGAATGTGTCATGCTTTAGGTGTGCTCAGAGACAGCGTTGGAAAGGGATGGGACCAGGGGCAGGGTCAGTCCACCAGTTCCAGCCCTTGCTCTTAGGCCTGGTTAAAGGTGAGTAAAAGAGGGTGTGGCTCCCTGCCCGCTCTTTCCTTCTCTCTCAGATTCTTGGGTACCCTGTCACCTTTTCCTCCAACATGCCCCACTGCCATCCTGTATCTGCCACGAAGCTGGCTGATCATGCACTGAAACTGAACCAAAATGAATCTCTCCTTTAAATTGTGGGTTTTGGGTGTTGTGTCTCAGCAATGAGGAAAGTGACTACGGTGTAACAAAACACTAAGCCTACCCTTAGATTATGGTAATGAAACTTGGACACCACCAAAGAAAAAGATAAAAAATATTAAAACCTATTATCTATAAAGGAATTATATGCCAGGCATGGTGGTGCACGCTTATAATCCCAGCACTGGGGAGGCTGAGGCAGGAGGATCACTGTGAGTTGGAGACCAGCCTGGGCTACAAAGTGAGTTCCAGGTCAGTCTCAACTACATAGTGAGACCCTGTCTCAAAAAACCAAAAAAAAGAAAAGAAAAAAAAAATTATAAACTGACAGCAAGACCCTTCAACACAGTAAGAAAACACAGAAAAAATTAGTTTTTCTGACCAAGCTATTATTTAATTTAAAAGAAAAGAAAGAAAAGGATGGATAACTTATTGTAAAGATTCTTTACTGAAAGTACTAATAAAAGAAAACTGAATTTCAAGAAGGAAACTAGATCCATGAGAAAAGAGTAAAAACACAGTAGCAATGGCAAATAATGTTAAAGGAAATAAGTCAGACACAACTTAAATATCACCTGATTTCTCTTACGAGAAACCAAAAATAAAAAGAGCAAAATAAAAGTTAGATAATAGGGAGACAGATCTTCTGCAAAAGGAAAGGTGACCAAGAGATGGAAGGAGGGAGGTGGGAAGGAAAGGGGATGCATGTCATCACTATGTACTACAAACAGGTACTAATAAAAATTAAAGTGAAAAACAAGGAGCAGTACCAAACACTGTTATGTGGGTAAATATAAACAGAAAACGATAAAACAAAGTTGTAACTGTAACAGTGACAACCACTAGGACAATTATTTTTATAGGTACGGAAATAAAGAAATAAAGTGCCAGAGGCTGATAACACATGAATAAGGCAGGAGAGGGTGTTAAATTATTTTAAAGTTCCTGTTCTACTGGGAAGATGCTTATTAACTTTAGACTTTGTTAAATCAAATTGTATGTTAAAAACTTGACAGTAAATTATATCAGAATGGGAGCAGAGGACAGAAAAATGAAAAAAGAAAAGAAAACATGGTTGGTACCATGTAAGGTGGAAAAGAAGAAATTAAGCAAAGAAACAGCACAATGAGTAAGATATACAAAATAGAAAAAAGTTGGGTGTGATGGCACAGGCCTGTAATCCCTGCATTCTGGGAGGATGCGGCAGAAGGATCACCAAGTTTGAGCCTAGCCCAGGTAACCTATAAAAAATCAGAAAGAGCCGGGTGTGGTGGCGCACACCTGTAATCCCAGCACTCGGGGAGGCTGAGGCAGAAAGATCGCCACAAGTTCGAGGCCAGCCTGAACTACACTGTGAGTCCCTGTCTCAAAACAAAATAAAAAGGTAAATGGAAATTGACACTAAATACACCAATTAAAAGACAGATTTTCTTTCTTTTTTTGGTACCAGGGATCGAACTCAGCACCTCACGATTGCCAGGCAGGCTCTGTGCTGCTGAGCTACATCCCCAGCTAAAAGACTTTCAGAGTAGATGTAAGAAAACACACCCACACAAAATCTAGCTATATGGGTTTTGTTTTTTTTTTTTTTGGTACTGGGGAATGAACCACCCAGGGCCTTTGCATTGACTACATCTTCAGCCCTCCCCCTTTCCATTTTTAATTTTGAGGCAGAGTCTTACTAAATTGCTAAATTACCCAGGTTGGGCTTGAATGTTCAATCCTCCTGCCTCAGTTCCCAGAGTGCTGGGATTACAGCTGTGCGTCACCACACCTAGCTATCCAGCTCAGGTATATGCCATTTATGAGCTATGTGCAGAACAAAACTAAGCATACAGACAGCTGAAAGTGTGCAAATAAAAAGATGGACCAGCACTGCTAATCATAACAAAGTTGGCACACCTACTTTGT